TCGATGCAGCAGCTGGGCCGCAACCGCATCGTGTGCCGCGTGGTGGAGATCAAGCGGCCCTTTGGCGTGACCATGTACCGGCTGCGGAGCGGAGCTGGAGTGGTGGAGGGTATGCATCAGGCCAGCAGGCTATCTAAGGCGCCACCCAGCCTGGCCAGCGAGCTGACCTTCAGCGGCACGGCGCAGCGAGGAGTGCCTGTGGTGTCTCTCAATGTGGCGATGGCGGCGCAGCCCGGCGGCGGCAAGGCAGCCGTGCGCTGCGGCTGCCGCGGCGCCTGCACCCGGAACTGCAGCTGCAAGAAGAATGGTGCGCGGTGTGGGCGGCACTGTGGCTGTATAACCGGTAAGGGTGGCAATTGCACGAACCATTGAAGAAGTGTGCCTTGTACGCTTTGCCGTCTCCGCTGGAAGGTGCTGCCGCCTGTGGCGGCTTCATATTTCCTGTTCATTTCTGTTGTTCGGTCTCTCTGTTCGTGTTGGTTGGCTTGTAAGAGTTGTATTTCTGACGCTAGAGAGGTGAGATGACAGCGGGAGCGTTGAAGCGTGCATGCCATCACGTGTGCAAGCAGCCCCGCTCCGCCCCGCTCAACCCTCAAACATGGCTCTATGGGGTCAGTTCACGTATGGGAGGGGAGCGCCGCGCGGGCTGCCAGGAGCGAGCGGGGGCGGGGGTTGCCCAATCGGGAGGGTGCCACATCAGGGGGCAACACATGCATGCATGCATGCGCATGTTCTAAACATGGGGATGCGGGTAGAGCTGGCCCTGCCCAAGGGAACTGCCAGGACACCGCCAGTCATTGAATAGCAGGCATGAGCAGAGCTTTTGACCACCTCTCATGTGGCCCGAGCAGCCGCCCCAGGCTCAGCCACGCTCCTTTGACCGCCATGCATGCCCAACCCAAAGCAAACTTCACAAGTAACTCGACAGGCCATCCGGCAATGCCAACACTGCCAGAGAAGTTCCCGCCCATGCCCCTGCCACCCAGCAGGCAACCCATGACATTCATTGCCAGGCGCATATGCTGCGTACCCGCCGTAGCTGGCGCACTGGTCAGCGGTCTGCCAACCGCAGCCGCAGCCATCGCAATTCACGTACCAGCATGACAGCGCACGGACAGGCAGAAGGGCACGGAAGGCAAGGCTGGATCTGGTGGGCTAGTGCAGCACAGCAACATACACATGTAGTGTACTCCAACAGTTGTGCATGCGTCGCCGCGGCTGGTTCAAGTGCTGGCGTTCAAGAGGGCAGGCAAGCGGGCAAGCCATGGCAGCGCGAGCCACATGTTGCTGCCCACAAGATGAGACACACGAGCAGACATGCACGACGGCAGTCCAAGGCAGGGCCAGGCTGCAGAAGCGAGGGGCAACCCTGGCGTTGCCGCAGCGGGCGCTGCTTTCGCCAGCCGCCGCCAACCACCCCGTCCTCATGGACTTGCAGGCCGCCCAGGGCAGTGCTGATCGCATCCAGAGCCCCCAAGGGCCCCTCCCCTTGTCTACACGGGACATACTCCGCCGTCATGATGCCATTTGAGGATGCCCTGAGGGGCTGACTGTCAGGGAGTGCACTCGTGCTGGCCCGATGGTGGCTCTGCGCAAGCTGATGCAGCTGATCATTGCTGATGCTGATCTGATGATAGGTACAACTGTCTTTGGTCCGACTGGATGGGGGGGTCCGGCTGGTCCGGCTGGTCAGCGAGTCAGGCAAGCTTTTCACGGAGGGCGTTCTGCATCGAATCCGGTGGACGACCGCAGCTGCCAGTTCGGTCAGGGATCGCTGCTCCGGGTTTGGCGCAATGCCAGTGCCCGCCTGACCTGCGGCTGCCGCCCTGCACCCGCCCCGCCGCCGGGTCCGCCCCACGGGCAGCAGCTTGCAGCAGCCCCGCCCTGCTCTTAGCAAAAGCTGTACTGAGCCCAGAGGGCCCTGTGCGCAGAATTTGCCGTCGAAGTAATCAGATTCCAAATTGGGGGGAGTGTGGGCTGCCGCGGCCGCGCTTGATACAGCTGCCATGTGCACGTGCAGAAGCCTGAGTGCTACAACCTCCTGGCCAGCCTCACATTCATTCGCGGGCTGGGCAGGTCTGCATGCGCTGCTTGTGGTGTATCAGTGGCGGAGCCCAATCAATCGAGTCGCCTCCTAGACTGCTGGTCGCAGCGGCGGAGGTGGCGGCAGCGGCACCCCATCTCTCAGCCTCACAGGCACATGCGCGCTGCGGCTGCTGCTGCACAACCTCGCTCTGAACTAAGCTGCTGCACAACCTCGCTCTGGACAAATCTGCTGCACTCTACTGGCCTCCTCTCTGGAGCGGCTAGCCCACGCCCAGGCATGCGCGGTACCGGCAGGCCGACGCCGCCCAACCACCGGCCAAATGCACCTCCTTGAGCCGCATCCCTTTGCCGTCCAGACCCTCCCCTCAACTCAGAAAGCAAGTTAAAACAGCTGGCCCACGCCTGCGCCCGCTGTTTTGCTGCCATGGGGCAGCCACCAGATGGCAATTGGCGGCGGTGGAGGGGCAGTGCTGAGAGGGCTGGCACGCCTGTACTCCTGCCCAATTGACTCCCAAGCCGACCCGCAGCGTGCGATTGAGTAACTGTCGGAGTTCAAACTCGTAGTGGCTGGAAGACCCATGCAGCACCTCCATGCAATCGGGTGCGACCGTCTGTCACACATGAACCTATAAAACCCTGGGGCATGCCCACTGCACTTTATCCTTCCTCTTCTTCTCTGTTGGTGCCTGCCGGCCATCCAAGTCACCATGGCCCTCCCCCGCACCCTGGCCGCCCTCCTGGGCCTGCTCTCGATGGCCACCACGGCCTATGGCTACACCGGCTGGGGCACCGCCTACTCTGGTGAGCAGCCTGATCGCCCGCGATAGCCGCAGGATGGGGCAGCCGCAGGATAGAGCCCTGACATGCAGCCTCGTCAGACGGGCGGGTTGACCTGCATCAGCCCAAGCATGCCCTGGCTTGCAGCCCTGCCTGCCACTCCTGGAGCCAGGAGGGGCGATCAGCACGCAGCAGCGCCCGCCTTGCACCCCCCCCTGCCTTGCGTCACCGCTCCTAACCCCCCGCTGCCCCGCCCTCCCGTGTCCCGCCTGCAGGCGACGGCGAGAAGGATAAGACTGGCTTCAACGCCTGCCAGTACGGCGACCTGGGCTCCCACTGGGAGAAGTGGTACGCCGCCATGCCCGCCGGCTGCGGCAGCAAGGGCTGGGAGTCCAACAAGTGCGGCAAGTGCCTGAAGGCCAGGGGCCTCGAGTCGGGCGCCCCTGGCGTCTGGGTCGTCGTCAAGGTGGTGGACCAGTGCGCCTCCTGCTCCTGCGGCGATGTCGACTTCTCCATGCGCGGCCTGAATGCGGTGACCGGCTTCTCCTGGGACCGCAAGAAGATTGAGTGGTGAGCCCCGCCTGCCTGCCCTTCTCACAGCTGCAAACCTTGAGGCGTGCGCCTGGCAGCGCCATTGCATGCGCTGCCGATGCTCCCTCCCCTCCAGCATTACTCTGTTGCTGACGCTCTTCTGCTGTTTCACTTGCTTGCCTGCTCTTCAGGGAGTGGACCGAGTGCTCTGAGAGCGCCGGCAAGTCCTCCGACGACGACGACGAGAGCGCCTCCTCCTCCTCCGCCGACTCCTCCGACTCCTCCGACTCTGAGGAGGAGTCCAAGAAGAGCAAGAAGAAGAGCAAGAAGTGCAAGAAGGGCTACTACAAGAAGAATGGCAAGTGCAAGAAGAAGAAGAGCAGCGACCGCAAGCTGCTGAGCGAGGTCGAGGAGTAAAAACCCCTCCGGCCCCCGCCGCGCCGCTGCCTTTTGCGTCTTCCAGCACTTGAGTTTCATTCTTCCTCACGTCCCACCACCACCCTTTTCTCACCCAAGCATTGTGTCTCTCCCACAGTTAGCCGTCCTCGTCTGCCGTAGCCGTCATCAACCTGCTTTCCATAGCTGCACTCCCTGCCCGCTGCTGTCTCCTCCCTGCCCCCGTGTACTGTTACCATTGCTCTTCTTTTGCTGGCGCCCACCACCCCTACACCTGCCGCCACGCCGCCCCAGCCTGCGCTGCCTTCTGCTGCTCCGGGTCCCCTGCACGTATTTTGTGAGCATGCATGCGACCCGTGTGCCCCTGCACCCGGCTTGGTTACCACTGCCACCTTGCTATCTGTTGCTTACCCCCTCTGCCTCGCTATCTCCTCCTGCTACCACCCCCCCAGTTTATTGTTCCTTTGATTCACAGGATACCCCAGCAACCAATGTGACTGGAGCCCAACTGCACAGTGAGAATGAGAGAAGAGGGCGGTTTGGCGGGGTGGCTGGCTGGGGGCTGCCTGCCTGGCTGGCTGGCTGGGTCAGCAGCAAATGGTCCAGCGCGGGAACCCGGGCTGTTGAAACTCCCAACCACAACTGTGGGACCCCCTCCTTCCACCCCCACCCCGTTGCTTTTGCCGCGTCGGTTGGGGCGGCGGTTGGCGGGGCTGCGGAGAGGCGGGGCGTGCACCAGAGCAACAGGCACGCTTCCCTTCGCCTGCGTGAGCCTGCGCATGGCTGCTGCTGCCCGTGCATCGTGTGCAGCGCGGTGCAAGCCAGCGCAACAATCGACAGCAGCGGCGGCAGCACGCAGGTCGCCCCAACAGCAGCGGCGGCGGCAGCAGCGACAAGACGCTGGCAGGGCAGACGCAGCAAATTCTCCGCCGCCCGATCGATGCCGGCCACCAGGATGGTGCTGCTGGATCTCAGGGAGGTGCTCAAGAGGCAGGCAGGTCGCCAACAAGCCGCAGGCGTGGTGCAGGCATGGTGCAATGCGGGCCTTGCAGGCTGCCAGCGCAGGGAACGGCGGCTTCTGAGCCTTCCGCCTCCTGGGTTGTTCCCCGTGCCCAATTGGGCACGGCCGCTGCAATTCAAAAGCAAGCCAGCGTGGCGAGCGCCCCCCCGCCCGGGCCCCCCTTCCCGTCCTGCGGCTCTGCTCCCATTGCAAGCACTGGTGTATTGCTGTGATGCTGGCCGCGTCGACCGCTCGTACTACAGCCAAGCCGATTTTGGCGGTCTGACAAGGACAGGCGCGTTGCATCAGGCGCCCAGATGCGGCGTGGTCGCACAACCGGTTTCCGCCGCCCATAAAAGCCGAGCAACTCCTGCATTTCCCCATTCCCTCCTCTCTCTCCTTTGGTGCCTGATCCAATCACCAGCACTCTCGCCATGGCCCTCCCCCGCACCCTGGCCGCCCTCCTGGGCCTGTTCTCGATGGCCTATGCCTACACCGGTGATGGCACCGCCTACTCTGGTGAGCAGCATGTTTGAATTGCCGATGGGTCGATCAGCGTCCCAGCTGACTGGGGTCAGACTTTTGTGTTTGACTGGCACATGCATGGCGACCCCAGCACACACAGGCATGCCTGCTTCAGCCAGCAGCACAGCAGCCCCTTGTCAGCTCCCCACCTCGCCTGGCACCGCCACTGACCTGTCCTGCACCTGCCTCCCATCCCCCGCCGCGCCTGCAGGCGACGGCGAGAAGGATAAGACCGGCTTCAACGCCTGTGAGTACGGCGACCTGGGCTCCCACTGGGAGAAGTGGTATGCCGCCATGCCCGCCGGCTGCGGCAGCCAGGGCTGGGAGTCCAACAAGTGCGGCAAGTGCATCAAGGCCAGGGGCCTCGACGCGGGCGCCCCCGGCGGCTGGGTTGTGGTCAAGGTGGTGGACCAGTGCGCCTCCTGCACCTGCGGCGACGTCGACTTCTCCACCCGCGGCCTCCAGGCGGTGACCGGCTTCTCCTGGGACCGCAAGAAGGTTGAGTGGTGAGTGGCAACCCCCCATCTTGCTTGATTGGTTTGTGTGTCCGTCGCCTGGCACCTGAGGCTCGCGTCCATCCTGCGCTGCCGGCTGCTCCCGCTGCTTCGGCCATGTGCCCCAGCCCCCTTTGTGCTCCCCCCTTGTGCGCTCTGTGCTGACCCTACTGCTGCCGCTCTCCCCGTCTGCCCTGTCCAGGGAGTGGACCGAGTGCTCTGAGAGCGCCAGCAAGTCCTCCTCCTCCAACGACGACGAGAGCGTCTCCGCCTCCTCCGCCTCCTCCGACGACTCCTCCGACTCTGAGGAGGAGTCTAAGAAGAGCAAGAAGAAGAGCAAGAAGTGCAAGAAGGGCTACTACAAGAAGAACGGCAAGTGCAAGAAGAAGAAGAGCAGCGACCGCAAGCTGCTGAGCGAGGTCGAGGAGTAAAAACCCCTCCGGCCCCCGCCGCGCCCGCTGCTGCCCCCAAAGGCACCTTGTGTTCTTTAGCACTTGACCCCTTTCATTCCCCACCTGCTTCCGCTCTGCTTGTGCCGCCACCGTGAGGTGCCCCATTCAATTCTTCCCCTGCTTCTGCTCTCTCTCCCACCTACCTGTCGCGTGGAGCGAGTGCCTCCTTGCGCCTCATGGAGGCACTGTTTTTACCCTTGCCCCTACCCTGTCCCGTACTCTTGTCCTCTTTCATGCCGGTGCCCACCACCCCCACACACCGCCACACCTGCCCCAGCCTGCCCTGCCCTCTGCTGTACCGGGCCGAATGCCTGCACCGCGTGCCCTCTGCCGCTGTGCCTGTGCATGCATCCCACGCCCTCCTGCACTCAGGCTGCACTCCTGCTATCGCCCCCCAGCTGATTCCTACCGTTCCCCCTGTTGCTACATATTGGCTTGTTATACCTGAGATGATGAGAGCTGCTTGTTCAACTGACAACACCCGTGTGAAACACACCACAGCACAACACACACGCGAGGGAGGCAAGGACTTGGCTGGCTGGCCCCTGCTTGCACGCCTGGCTGGTTGCTCTGCTTCGTTCACCAGGAATGTACAAAGGGATGCAGAAGCGGTCCACACAAGTCACAGAAAGAGGATGCAGCAGTGGTGGGCGGCTGCTGCGCTCACTGCGGCTGCTGCGTCGCCAGCTGGGGCGGCTTGCGGGGTGGGCGGTACGGCTTCAGCTCGCTGCGCCTCGCCAGCACCTGGCCCTCGGGCGGCTTCTCGTTCACGCGGCCGCGGCAGTTGGCTGCTCCGCAGTTACACGGCAGCTGCTCCTCCCCACAGAACCGGTAGTCTGCAGGCAGGCAGGCAGGCAGGCACAGGGGGCGAGCCCAGGCGGGCCGTCAGGCCCGGCGGGTAGGCCACCAGGGCGCAGCCCAGCGGGCGGCACCGCCACGCCGCCGGCAGCGCTGCGGCCGTCCAGCTGCCGACCGCCCGCTGCCGCGCCGGCAGCTGGTGCCAGCCCGCCCGCCCCTCACCATACGTCAGCTCCTCAGCCACCTGCAGCAGCAGCGGCAGCAGCCCGCCCTCGTCAGCGGCCCGTCAGCGAGCGAGCAGCAGCAGCAGCGGCGCGCCTGCACACACACACGCACGCGCACGCCATACTCCCCAGCTCCCTTGCGCTCGCAGGCCGCGGGGCCCCTTCTCGCACCCCCCAGCAAAACAGCAAAGCAGCACGCACTGCGCCCCATCCAGCCCCACCCAGGTAGGAAAGTAAATCCCACCTCGATGTCTTTCTTGGCAAAGATGATCACATGGTCCACCACTCTGCCACCCTCCTCGGTGATGCTGCAGGCAGGCAGGCGGCGGCGAGGGTGTGTGCTTGCCGCAGGCGCAGAGAGGGGTGGGTGTCGCCCGGCAGGCGTGCCGCCACCCGGCAGACAGCACGCAGCGCCCGCCACGCGGGCCAGACCAGCAGCCCGCCACGCAGGCCTGCCCACCAGCCAAGCCGCCAGCCCCCACCTGATGGTGCGTGAGAAGCAGTTGGGGTCGCAGGAGTGGTTGAGCATGTGCGCCAGGTTGCCCGCCCGCGTGGCATCCACGCACAGCGCCTCTGCGCGCGGCGCGGGAGGGGGCGCGGGGCGCGGGCAGCTGGGCAGGCGGCTGTCCGCCCACAGCTCTCAAGAGCGACCACCCGGCGACGCCGTCCCAGCACTGGCCGCAGGGCTGAGCGTGGCCCGTGCTCCGCTGCACCTCCCCTCCACCTCCCGCTCCACCTGCCCGCCCCTCAGCCCTGCGCGCCGCGCTGGGGCGGCGTCGCCGGGTGGTCGCTCTTGAGAGCTGTGGGCGGACAGCCGCCTGCCCAGCTGCCCGCGCCCCGCGCGCCCTCCCGCGCCGCGCGCAGAGGCGCTGTGCGTGGATGCCACGCGGGCGGGCAACCTGGCGCACATGCTCAACCACTCCTGCGACTCCAACTGCTTATCACGCACCATCAGGTGGGGGCTGGCGGCTTGGCTGGTGAGCAGGCCTGCGTGGGG